CTGTAGTAATATAACCCTACGAGTCCCGGACTTATCCAGTGCTCTGCGGACCGCATCAGCCACATCTTTTGATTTAAATTGTTATGGTGCTAATTAATATCTGTACTTAAGATTAAAATTTGTAGAAGAAAGTACAAAATTTTTTCGCCACCCAGACGCTTTAACTACTAAGCTAAACGGCTGATCGCCACACCGACGAAAATCTAAACAATGATTCATTAAAACCTGCCACTGAAAATTGGTCAGATAAATAAAAAGCCGTTTGCCTTTTCGAAAATAAACATGTGGCGCAGCCACGTGTTCTTGCTCATACAATTGTGTAGGCGCATCATTTTTGTTACACCCCTATTATTCTCGTCGTTTTCACAGCTACATAATAGACGAAACTATTAAATCACCCCCATTCTATGGACGGACTATTACTGCAAAAAAAAAAACTGTTATACGATTTTATCTCTAGTTTACCTTTAAATTTCCTTAACAATTTCAGGTTTATGGCTTAACGAACGAATTTAATTTGCTGTTATTTTCTTCATAAATGCCTACTTTTATAGTCCTCTTGAGTAATTTTCGGTATGGACACATTATGACACAAAATTTCATCAAGCCCTGATCTACAGGCTAATAGAGAAATACACTTGCCCCAAGCGGTTAAATTTGGCGGTGCCGACCTTTTGGAGGTGCCCCACAGACAGCATCACTATCGCTACTATACATATCCCTTATTAAAAGTGTAATAGCAAACAATCTAGTGTACACGGACTATAATAAAAGTTTTATATTATATTTGAAATTATTCTTATAACCGAATTTCAAGTAAATATAAATTAGGATGTTTAAAATATGCATCTGTTTGAGCGGTTCAGGGTTCTGAAATCGTTTTTGTTAACAGATTTTCCGCGAACTGCAATATTTTTCTTATTTAAACCGGCTTGACTTATAAACCCAGATTGAATTACCTCCACAGTCTTGTATCTTGTCAATCATATTGAGTAGGCCTGGATTTAATCCGGAGGAATGACATTAATTGAACAACTTCGTCAAAATATGAACACGGATTCACCACGTCTTCAGCATTCGCGGCCTAACGCTTTAGCTACTAAGATAAACGGCTGATTGCCACACCAATGAAAATCTTAACGTCTTTTATCTACATTGTTTTTTTTTTAGCATTTGAAGCAATGCTTGTCGCATCGGCAATGGCGGCCATTGCTTTTTTTAGAGATTAAAATTTTTTCTAGTGCTAATCACTGCACTTAAGATTAAACATTAAAATGTGTAGAAAAAAGGGAGGTATACATTTTAATTTTATGATAAGACAGAGCAGCTGGAGAAGTATGATCGTTTTAAATCGAAAATACTTAGATATCTCTTTCTTAACAGTGAGCTATTAAAAGAAAGCTTGTTTCAAACATCTTTGTTTAAATCATATAAATAATCATAATAATATAAATATCTACGAAACATTAACGTATATAAAAGGCTGCTTCTCTTGGTCTATTAATCTTGAGATGGAGAAATGTTCTTCAGTTTTTTGAAAAGACTTTACGGCTGGCTTATAAAAACTGAGAAAATTATGAGAGAAAATATATCACCTTGCAGTAGGCTGGACTCGCTCTGCGTGAATATTAGATGAAAATCAATCTGAAGGTGCATGGTCACCTTCTTATGTTCCGTTTCTATCTTTGGTGTGTAAGACAGTTTTGCTGATGTGTGCAGAACGAAATCTGAACTGGATTACTCGGCAAGTTATTTTTGTTAATAACAAGGTAATTTTTATCCATGGAGGTCACGTTAAGGTCACGAAATTTTCAAAATGTATAAGATACAATTATGCTTCTTACTTTGTAAATTCATTTAATCAAAAAAATCGTGTCATTACAATGGTCATTTAGGACAAGTAATTATCGGCAACCGACGATAGGACAAAAGGAATGTTATCCATCCCAGGACTAAGTACGTTAAGAAAACCAAAAGCTTTCTCAAATTCTGTAACGGAGCAACAATAAGTGAAACCCCTAGACACATCCCGCCATTTTCGATTATCCATCCAGTTTACATACGAGCAGATATCACTACAAAGTATGTATGTATAGGCCTCAGATGCATTTAAGTAAGGAATGTTAACATGGATGATTGCTAATGACGAGGTACTCCATTTGTCTTGAACGACCTGCAAAAAATGTTCCAGCAATTAGAAATTAGAAATTATATTATCTTATCCTTTAAACGAGCCTTTAAAATCTGGCGATCTAACTAGGTTTCATTTTTAGAAAATGTCCTTTTTATCCCTGTTTTCAGGGAATGAAAAATATCATAATCTGAACTTTTATAATAGCTCGGTCGGTAATCGAGCGGCCCCAAAAAAGACTTTTTTTCTATTCCAGATCATTGCTTTCTTTATTTTTTGTTATTTGTTATTTTGTTATTTTTTCCCCTTTTTTTTAAAGTTCTTTCTTTTGTGAAAAACATCAGTTCATATTTTCTTATTACTACGTCGGTAAGATCGAAAAATATTATGCATATTTCATTACTCAGTAATTTGTATCTAAATGTAATTTCCAAAATACACGATTTACCAAAAAAAAAAAACAAACCAAGCAAAGCTCGGTCCTCCAGGTACTATAGTTTATATGTTAGGCTCTAAGAACGAAAACGCTCATTGAGCGTAAAATCGGCTAGCATCACGTTGTGGTCACAGTAAAATACGCGTTATGGCGTTTATGTCCCGAAATTTGTATTATGGCACTGTAATGTATGCGCGAACATTGGCGTGTCAGTTATTGAGTCGAGAAAAAGATATCACTGGAATGTAAAGATGTATAATTATTTACATCTCTTTTCACAATGGTGACGTATATAGCTCTTTTATGTTGGTAACTCACTAATGATATTTGAATTTTTGGCAACTGAATAGGGAACTAATAAAGGTGAAAATATGCATTGCAATCTGTACTCATAACAACGAAATGCGTTATATTCGTATGCTAACATTAAATTTACATCTTAGATAAAATGAAATAAATAAATTAAATCAATTTGAAAATGTTAACCGTTGAAAAAGTAATGACGTAATTATAATTTGAATGTTTACAAAACTGGCAAACATGTGATCATGTATTGTTTATCTCTTTCTTTCCCACGAGTACGCAATTATTATATTATTATCTTTCTCCGAGTTACTGATGTGAAAGTTTCATGCGTTGTCAATTGTTCACTTGTTCAGTGCCGTACGGAACGCATTGACAACCATGATGGGTTAAAGTTAAATAAGTATTTCTTTTGCACTGGAGATATTCGAATAACTTTTAGAAAGAAATATGTTATTTTATTAGCAAGGTACATTCAATTTTATCGACGACATAATTATACATGAGGCCATTAAAAAAGAAACCGACGAAAGGTTAAGTAAGGTGTCACGAATTTTGGGGTAAAATAAAATTTTAGTAAATGAAAAGAAATGCATTTATAAAAACCGAAAAGTTTCGCGGTGATGAAATTTCGGCAGTGGAATTAGTCCGCTTTAAATTTGGGTTTCGCTCGTAACGACACGACGAAACAACTGTTACGTTTAATTTTCTACTTAGGCGCGTTTGTGCCTCGCTTGTGTTAGTTTTCAGATACATGGATTGATTGTGACGAACACAGAAACACTCGTGGCCATGGTGCTCGCAGTCCCCGTGTAATTGCGCAGTTCGCGACATGTTTCGTGGCGTCACGTACTGCGTGACTAGAGTGGCAGTAGTAGTGGTGGCTGGCGGTGTGATCGTGCTCGTGACCACGCACATTTTCATGGTAGCCAGTCAAGTCCTTAAAGACACTGTAGAACTAAAATTTATAGCGTCCTAGCGAAGGATAGCCACACGGATCGTTCGAGGATATCGCACGATATCATTCGAGGCGATATGTCTGCAATGCTGTCCGGGAAGTGCTGTCCCACAGTGGAGTGCCCTAGCCTCCTTTTGTGAGACTGTTATGGTCCAAAAGGGGGCTGCTGAACGTGATCGGCAAAGAACTGATCCCAACCACCGGAGACGTTGGCTGGGAGCTGGTGCTCCCAGTCATGGCGCCGAAGAGGAGCCCCGTTAACTGAACAGGTTCTTGGGGCTGCAGGGCATGATTCTCATCTTCGCGCACGTACTTGGGGTAGCGAGTATATCCCCGAGCCTGGGCTACTTAGTAAGTCAGAGGAGATCCCGTGCCTCCTCATCAGTAATAAAGATATGTAACGTGGGGTTTTAGTCGATAGGAATCCGACATAACATGTATACCCCCTCTGGCTATTATATTCAGGATTTCCCCACGGAAAGAAAAAAAAAAGATGGACCCGTCGACTTGAATACGAATCTAGTAATTCTAATAAAAATGATTTATAAAACAATCAACTCACTTAAGTTAGTTGATTGTTTCATAATTCATTTATTCATTTTGAAACAATCACTATCTCGTTTGATCTTTAAGGTATTCTGTTTGTCAAAGGATGTTCTTATAATTTGAACAATTTAAATTTCGCGCTATTAAAGAAAAAAGTCAAAATCAAAATTTCTGTACTCAATTTTGGCTTATTTTAAAACACCACACAACATAATACTGCGAATATAAACATAATTAATTAATTAAGCTGTTCTCTCGTCAGTTACTTGACAGGCTAATTTACAGTCTTCCAACAAAAGAATTATCTATATGCTACTACTCTACTTGGTTGAAAATTGTAACGTTGTACCTGTAAATCTTCATTATGAAAATATCATACAAATCTTTTTATTGCACACTGTTAAATTAAGAGGGTTTCTATACATCACTCTTGCGTTACTTTTCAAATTACATCTAGTACTGTTAGTTTAGAAAACTTAATGCACTAACCTTCCATAAAAATGTTGGGATTGGTTGTCTCTTATGATTTTTATCAATTAGGAACTTAGTCATATTCGGACGAGAACGGAATGCTATACCAGTATGGACAATTAATTCGCGACCTATATGTGTACTTATTGATCTTATTCTCTTTTCCACTTCATCCCAATTCTGTAAGTGTAATCAAAAATTTAATTAATGCTGCTTGTATTCCAAAGCTTTCACGAAGACTTTGATTTTCTTCACGTCATCTGGATTTTGAAAAACAAATACAAAACACGTGATAGGCCCCATCTTTTACTACTGGCTTGTTCTAGGGATGTCAGAGCTTTATTATATCTTACTTTGTTTGAATTCTTTTTCTGCATTTATTGTTTGCTTTGTTTTAATGTGACAAGAAATAACAGGCAGTTCACCAGACATAAACTGTGATAAAATGTGTAATAAAATGGAGTATTCACGTACATTCAAGAAATAGTCATTTGCCAGTTAAATAAAAAATTACGTTATTTTTAGGGCTATTCGTTCGTTGCAATGTTTTAAGGGTTGGTGATGAATTTAATAGGTAAAGTTGAAGTTTCTATAAATGTTACTCACAGCTAGTTTCTTCAAAATAATTAAAAAAATAAGGTCACTTACTTCGGAACCACACGTACTCCAATGAGGAACTACGTTTAGATTACTGTATGTAACCATTTGTGGTAAACCAGGAGAAACGTCAAGTGCATTTACTAACTGTCTCTTTGCAAAACAACATTTTTTACCATTACTAAATGGAACTGAAAGCTTTTCAATTTGCCTGTCACAATTGTATAAATCATCGTAATTGTATGGAACCAAATCAGTTTCAAACCATTTTGTTTCATAGCGTGATTCTTTGCCAGTCGGATGCGGGTTGGTATGGTGTGTTGAATAAATAGGCATGGTTTTAGATGTGTCATAGCAAATTTCGTAAGTATCTACAAATACACCATTACTTTCATATCCAACTTTTACTTTTTCCGTAGGCCCAGGTGCGCATGAATAACGGAGTCTTCTTGTCACTGGTCTAATATTATCCGTGTTGCATTTGATTTCAGATATTTTAATGGATCGTTTATTTATTTCTACTGTTGTATCTTGAATACATATCGCTTCTATATTGTTTCCGGGCAAATGTACAAATTCACCCGGGCAAGTGAGTGTTAACGTTTCTCCTCTTGGCACTTGTATGATATTAGAATAAGTGTAAGATCTTAAATCAACATATTCAATTTTTGGGCTGTCAATATCAGTGTTAAGTGTATCAAATAAGCAATCTGAAAAATTAACCTGGCTTTTATCAAGCTCTAAAACGAATGCAAGAAATGTAGAGAATCCGCCTAATAGCATACCTCTGTTAATGATGTTAAAATTACGAGTTTTTGTTCCATATTTATTGCTTACGACGCAGATATACTGTCCGATATTTTTTTCTGACATTCCAAATGTGTACACCCAACTAGATACATTCAATGTTTTGCCATTGAACAACCATTTCACCTGTAAATTACATTACAGTTAATTTTATTATCATCCTATTTTTAATACATAACCAGTCCAAGAAAGTTGTAAGTTATTTTGTTACATATTTCATTTAGCATATTTATTTTTGTAAGTCAAATACTAAGTTTACTATTCTGATACTGATCACATAGCATCATCACAGATATAACGCGAACGTGGCTAATTTAGTGAAACTACATACACCAGCGGTCTTGTTAAATATTTACCTTGGGTTTTGGTTCTCCACGCGCGACACACGATAAATAAGCATCGGCATCTAATTTGAAGTCTACGTTTTCGTCTTCATCAGTTGTGAACATTGGTTTGAATCCAACCTTAACTGATATAGTGGCACTAGTAGAACCAGAAAAAGTATTAACACGACATGTGTACAATCCTTGATCTGATGGTTGAACATTGTATAAAATTAATTCACCGTCTGCAATATATTTTGAGTCCTGTAAAATAAGTTTGGTCTGACGCTTTTGTTTGAGGGTAAAGTAAGTTTGGTCATTTAGTAGTAACTCAATCTTAATATATTATTAACTTGGTATCAGCATCATATAATTTTTATGTCCCAAACGTCTAAATTTGTGCTAAATAAGCATCAAATGCGGAAATTTTTAACTCACCGCTTCAATTAAGCAATATCTGCAGCTAATGCTGATAAGGCACGGAAATTGGAAGTATAATGGGAGCAAGATACGTCTCAAATGTAAAAATAACTTTCAATTACATTAGAAGTGGCTCTGAAAGTTCAGTGTCCGGCCGTGATAGCTCAGTGTCCGGGCGCTCGCCTTTAGATGAATTTACTCGAGCAACCTAAGTTCGATCCCTGGTGCCGGCACCAATGACATTGTTAATTTTAAGTGCTGAATTATCACGTGCTCAGCGGTGTAGGAAAACATCGTGAGGAAACCTGCATATTTTCGAAATAATAAAAAGGAAAGAAAATTATTTCGAAGATTTGTAAATTCCGCCAATCCGCTGTGGGGCCGCGTGGTGGACTATGCCCTGATACCCTTTGTACAGAGAAGGCCTTGACCCAGGAGTGGGACATGTACAGGCTGATACTAGGAAGTGGCTCTGAAAGCAATTTAACATCGTTTCAAACCATTCGGGACGATTAAAAAACAAGGTTATGTTGAACACCGATTATGTATGAGTGAAATGCTACTTGTTAGACATGAAAAGATACATGTTTAATTTATGCATTTCAGTCATGACATTTCATACAAGAAGTGAGAATAAAGATTTTTTTATTGTCACTGGCGCTGAAAATCGGATACATTATGATAATCCAAAAAAGAGAAACTCATGGAGACTATTTGGACACGCTTCAACACTAACAGCAAAAAAGAATATTCACGTTATTTCAACAAAACTCATGCTTATATTTGATGGGATCAACCGGATATCGTGAACAAAAGAGCGCGATATCGTTACTGGAGCCCTCTACCACAATTGAGATTGAGAGATTTGAGATTTTTATGAGATTATATATGTAACTTCCTATAGGACTAACGATACACATATTTAAAAAAAAATAATCATTTATTTAAAAAAAAGGTTAGTAAACTTTTTATTTAATTCTGATAATTAGCTGGAAAAAATCTGATAATAATTAATAAAAGGATTACATTTTGTTTTGCTTTAAGTTAAAGAATATCAAATCTGTTTCACTCGTACCGCCGCGATAGCTCTGTATTCGGGCCATCGCTTTTAATTAAAAATATTCGCGCAACATGTTTAGCACAGAACGAAAACCAATTCGCTGTGGGGCCGCGTGGTGGACTATGCCCTGATACCCTTTGTACGGGTAGGCTGATACTAGGAAGTGGCTCTGAAAGCAATTTTACATCGTTTCAAACCATTCGGGACGATTAAAAAACAAGGTTATGTTGAACACCGATTATGAATGTGTGAAATGCTACTTGTTAGACATGAAAAGATACATGTTTAATTTTTGCATTTCAGTCATGACATTTCATACAAGTGACAATAAAGATTTTTTTATTGTCACTGGCAACATTATTTCAATTTCCTGTGCCAGCACAAATTAAACTGTTGATTACAATTTTAAGTGTTGACGGTTAAGCGGTGAAGGTAAAAATCGTGAGAAAACCTGTAATTTTCGAAGTAGCAAGAAAAAATTTCGAGGTAAGTCTGCAGTGGGGTCGCGTGGGGTGGACTATGCCCTAATACCTTCTGTACAAAGGTGGTTGCCTAGCAGTATGGCAAATATACACGCTCTTACTTTACTTTTACTTTAGTTTTTACCTTGTACCATCTCAGTATATCAGTTTTCTTATGAGGAATGTCACAATTGATTGTAGCCGATTGACCAATTTCTAAATCCACGATTTTTTCCAGTCTTCCCTGAAGTGGAAAATCTGAAAAATTATTTATAAATTGAGGGTTGCATAACAGCATATCGAATATTGTTTTATCATTTTAATTATCTTGCGCAAAAATAAACTTATTATAGCAACCGCAGATTATTAATGTCGATACTTACCCAGGACATTGACGTTAATAAAATTGATATCTGTGTCCACTGCGTTCTGTGCTAAACATGTGTATGTGCCTTTAGTCATATTGTCGACGTTCTTTATAATGAGTGTCCCATCTTCTTTCATATCATACCAATACGTTCCTACAAAAAATGTACTCGCGTATTTAAAATAAAAGGTAAAGTTTTGGCTTTTTTGTGGTGATGGTTCGTCCGGGAAACTACCATAGCCTCACAGAAGACTGGTGTGAAGTGATATTGCTGTAATTTCGCGTTTTGTCTGATGATTGATATAGCCGGCGGCACCTTTTTTTACGGTAAAATTTTGGAAAAACACGGCGTTAATAGAAAAAAATACCTTCTTTACAATGCATCGCGTCTGTAATAATCCAGGAGCTGCACAATGGGAGACAGTAATTACTTACGAGCACCAGCTTCAGGCGAACCACCTGCTCATTTAACATAAAAATCCTACTTCCAATTTTCTTATCATTAGTTTTATGTCCAACAGCTTTTTTTTTGCTATATTTGTAATAAATTTACATAAAAAAGAGAATCATTCTAAGGTATTCAATTAAAATAAGAAGACACCACAATATAATCAATATTTTTTTATACCTGTAGGTATTTTTAACCAATTTTTCATCCAAGTAATGGTTGGCTTAGGATAGCCTGTCGCCCGGCACGGTAACTCTAATACTAAATCACCAATGACAGCCGTCGCTGACTTAGTCGACGATCTTTCAATGGTCGGCGGAACTAAAATTTAAGTAAAACTTAATATTAAATGGTTATTAAAAAGGTATGTATAAACATTGCGTGTTATTATAGCAATTGTATTAGGATAAAGTTTAAATAGTAATAAGCTTATTTTAACAAATAACTAAAAACGTCAATGTGAACTAAACAATGAAAACATTTCCTATAGTGGTTTTGAATTATAAATGAAATGAGGATATAATATTTTTCTTTCTATGTTACTCCCAATATTTAGAGACTGCAACTGATAATAATCCTATCCATATTAATTTTAATTTTAAAACTTTTAAACTTAGATGTATTTGGATATAGTTTACAAAGATAATATGTGAATTGGAGATATAGATAAAAATTTAATAACCTAATACTTGGACTGTATAAGTGAGGTTCGTTGATCCACCAAGATTTTTAGCCAAGCATATGTAAAAACCACTTTGAGAAGCTTGCAGTCTTGGCAAAGGTAGCGAACCGGACCTATCACCTGGCCTGAAAATTAAAAACAAAGCATTTTACACATTTGACACAAAATTAATGAAAAAATAACAATCAAAAAAAGTAAATTAGCAGCCTATAAATGTCCCACTACTGGGCAAAGGCCTCCTCTGTACAGAGGGTATCAGGGAATAGTTCACCACGCGACCCCACTAAGGATTGTTTTTTTTTATGTGAAAAGTTGCCAAACGAGCAGACGGTTCACCTGACGGTAAGTGAATACCGCCGCCCATGGACATCTGCTACTCCCGAGGGTTACAGAGGCGTTTTGAAAATTTTTCAACCCTTTGAAAATTGGGCTCCGGCTACCTCACGCACCAGAAGAAACGCGAAAATATTTGTCATACTTCCACTTTACGCTGGTCTTCTGTGAGGTTGTGGTACTTACCCGGACGGGCCTGCCTATTCGTGTAAAAGCCGAGGCTGCTGCGTGGCCCTACCACCGTAAAAAGATTGGCGGACTTCACATATTTTCGAAATATTTTTTTGTTGAACAAAATAATAATTTTGCAAATCCATTGCCGTCCAATTTTGCAAATTTAAAAAATACAAAAATATCCCAATTGATAACTTACTTCTTTTTAGACGGTTAAAAATGACACCTATTATGTGGCGATTAGATTATACGAGTATACACTGCTACTAGATGTGTATACTCGTATAATCTAAAAGTAAGGTTCTAATGTCCTTTGTAACGTAGTTTACGACATGGGATGACGTTTGAAGAATTTAAAAATTCAATGCATTCCCATTTAACTTTCGTTTTAGTTTAATGAATATATTTGACTATAATCGAAACAATTTTTGACATAATAGAAATACATTGTACATACCCTAATACTTTCGTAGTGTCATAAGTTAAAAACAGCCATTTCACAGTAGGTTTTGGATGACCAGTTGCGTCACATCGTAATGTTAGAGAACTCCCAACCTTTTCTTCCAAGGTTGTTTCTGGTGGGGGTTTGATCTGTGGTGGCACTAAAATAAATTTAAAAATTCAAAGATAAAACGATAACTTCATCATTACAATTTTTATATTGAAATTTTCATATTGGTTTTATATACAGGTCAAACTTTCCTTATATTAGAGTGCTGCGACTGCATCACACTTGAGAAAAGAAAAGTATGTGGTGTCTTTAAATTTGGTTAATGACAAATGAAATATTTTTTTAGTTTTACAATCACTTATATAAAATTACTGTTTTGTACTGTAAGTTATATCTATACGTAGAATATTTGGAGTCATGTAATTATAAACAATAAGCTGTCCAACCATGATCCAACCAAATAAAATCGTCAGGTTATCGTTAAAACGTGAAAAAAGTTTTGGGATTCATTGGCCCATTTAAAAAACTTTTAAATATTAGTAATGCAAAACGCTACACCGATAACTCAGTAGCACATATGCTAAGCCATTGGTTTAGCATATGTGCTACTGATGATGCTGTGCTACGAGTTGGGGGTCATGGGTTCAATTCCCACTCGAGAAATGCATTTGTGACCCTGAAATAATTGTTCCCGACCTTATCATGTTTCTATTAGTGTTTAGCGCTTAATTTTTTTGGGAATCGCTAAGATCTTAATAGGTTTTTTCGATGTTCTTCCTGATCGCGTCTTAAATGGAATATTTCACGTACCATAAACTATTATTTGAACAGTTTTTCTTTCAGATCCAAGTTTGTTATTAGCTTCACATGTGTAGTTTCCGGCATTATGAATCGATGATCTAAAACTGAAAGGCAACTGGTAATTAATTTAGATGATTTAGAGACTGAGTGTGCTATGCCACAGCTTCGGCTGTGGCAGGAATGGACAGGTCTGTCCGGGTAAGTACTATGAACTCACTAAAATACGATTTATTTGATTAGGTGCTATGACTAGCCAAAGGCGACAAATAGTTTCTAAAACTGGCACCAAAAAGTAAGCAAAAGCATTAAAAAATAGAATATGATATGTAGGTAAATTGTTACTACTTAGTTTCTAAAATCCCGAAGTTTTTCCTAATGCTGGCTCCGAAAAATCAAATTACTACAACTATCTTAACTTCTACTCTATAAGATACGAGACAATGAAGATAAAATACAGTTTTAGCTAATGTAACCTAGACAACTGAGAACAAATTATTATTTTTCAATTTATTTGAAAAGAGTTTTTACTAATATATGTATATTTGTCGGTCCCTACAGACATAAAGACATGTCAAAAATTGAATTTTTTTATTGCATATCAGCTTTACATTTTCTTTATATGTTTTTTATAAAACGTTTTATATTTTTCTTCATTTACAAATCGTATAAGAGAATATGTATTACTATTACAACGAATAAGTGTCGTAGTTGTGTGACTTAACGTAATTTACGTGAGTTCCACCAAAGTCATGTTGATTTTGATGATTGTTCGCGTGGTGAAATAATTAATATTTTGATACAATTTATATTTAGTGGTGTGTTTTTTAGTTATAAGTATTCATAACTAGCCTGCAATGATACTGTAAAACATGAATAGCAGTAGATCAAAGTTATTGGTGAAAATTGCAAACTCCAGAAATAATGCTTTGTACATTTCTGAAGCACAAGATTTAATAAATGTTCATAAAATATTTTATTTAAATTGTATGTTAGACACGGTTTTCTTCCTTCCTGCGTATAAAATGGTTTCATACACATGTATGACATGCTTTTATTTTAAAATAAGCGTAGAAATAGTCATCTACCAGTTTTTTTCAAGAAAATATAAAAAATTAAATAGGTATAAATACCATTATGAAGTTCCTAAAGCTAAGAAGACATTATAGAAAAATCTAGAGCGGTTTGAACATAAATAACGCTCTCCTATAAACCTCGGTTTTTTGACATGTCTTTATGTACGTTGTTTTGTTGTTGTTGTAGTTGTTAAAAAAAAGAACAACAGGAGTAGATAAATATTTTTTTCTGATAGTAACCGTCCGTGCTGAATGAACTAATAATTAATTTCAATGGTTGTTAGGCACCAATTATTACATTGTTGCCCTAGTACATAAACAGTAAATCTTACAGACAGTTTTCTATTATACATGTAGCTGTATGTACTACTCTATATACCATTTTTTTCTACCAGACTTGAGAATGTAGTGCTAATTTTATGCCACTAGTCGTTTTTTTGTTTTGATTTAACATTTGGAGACACGAGGTCTTCCGAGGTCCGTTTAAGGTCCGGCAGGGATTAGAAGCAGCCATTGCTTTTTGATAGATGGCTGGTTTTATATTGTTGCAAATCTGTCTGACTTGCTTAATTACATTATTGATTAGCAAGAAAGTATTATTTTCTGCTTTTTAGCCGCATGCATATGACGTAAAGATAGGAGAATTCATATAAACGTTTGTAAAAACTCTTTTCAAATATTAAAAAAAAAAAAAACTTGTTCAATGTGATTCAGCAACAGAACTGGGATTTTAACAAAATCGATATTTTATTTGTAACAATTTATCTACAAAGTCGGAATTAATTTTTTTTTTTGTGACGATTGGAAATACAGCTGCCTTCTTTACAAAACCGCCGACAACTGTTATTAATACCTTAATGTTTTATTTCTATAAATTTTATGAATGTGAGAATTATTGATTATTTTCCCATTAAAACTCCAATACACACTTGGAGTTGGGATACCATCCACAAGGCAACTGAGTGATACCATTTTGTCGTCTTCTGTTTTTATTAACGTTTTATCATGTTTTATTGCTGGTGGATCTGAAATGAGCAAGAATATTAATTAAAAACCGGCCAAGTGCGAACCGGACTCGCGAACGATGGGTTCCGTACCAATTATAATATAATTATGATTTAACAATATAACTTATTAAACTAATTGTCAAGTGCCTAACAACAGTTGCTTAGCAACCGCCTCGCATTTCTTGTCTGGGAGGCCACTGAATATTTTTTCTGTTTTTTTAGTATTTGTCGTTATAGCAGCAACAGAAATACATCATTTGTGAAAATTTCAGCTGTCTACTATCATGGTTAATGAGATACAGCTTGGTGACAGACAGACAGACAGACAACGGAGTCTCAGTAATACGGTCCCGTTTTACTCTTTGGGCCTCTTAACCTTGAAAAGCAAAATTCTTAATATAAGGCATTTTAATGAACTTTTGTAAAATGACTTATATAAAAGCTCAACGATGTCTTTTTCCTGGAGTTTATTCTATTTTTTGACTTTCTTATTTGATTAAATTAACAAATTTTCACAGTTTCTGTTTACTTCAAAACATTTTTTTACTACATCGTCATATGGTATTCTGGAGATTTATTTTTCATGTCATATACGTTTGAGAGACTTCGAGCTTCCTCATACGGCCAGCAGAGAAGGACCACGTCTCGGTTCAGTAGGTAATCACTGGCATCACACATTGATTGAAGACTTTTGTCTTCAAACATTGAGGGATATTAGACGAGGGGACGATCCCCCACTAGACGGAGTGACAACCTATGCAAATGTGCAGGAATCGATGGATGCAGGTGGCTTAGGATCGTACTTCGTGGCATTCTATGGGTGATAATGATGATGATATGGTGATGACATAGAGAATAGTGAATGGTATCATAAATTATTATGGTGTGCCACTAATAAACCAATTATTACATTAATATTATACATAATAACACTAGACACTTACATTCAACAACTAAATCTATATCGTGACTGTCTTTACCGTACGCATTGCGTGCTTCACATCTATAGGTACCTGCTTTATCTAAATCTGCGGCCTTTATATGTAGGACGTCTGAATTTTCAGAGATTTCAATAAAATCGGACGTGTATTGTTGCTTAAAAAACCAAACCATATTAGGCTGCGGTATTCCAGCAATAACTCTGTAAAAATTGACGATATATCGCACTTAGAAAATCCATTGAACGGAAATTTATAAAAGAGTACCAATAAGGAGAATAAATAAAGAAGAATTCACCTGCAATTTAAATCAATATTTTGATTTTTTGTGACTTCAACCTCTTTAACTGTTTTTCTTAATTTAGGTAGAGCTAAAATAAATAAACTTATCAAAATAATAAAATAAATATTTAAGTGTTTAAAAAACAAACCGTTTCCTAATGTGGATTTTGTATTTATACAGTTGCTGCTATCGGTATATCCAAACTCATACGGCTTGGATCATGGATCTTAAAAAGCGACTATTATCTCTTCGGCCTTTTTTGGTAACCTATATTAACAATAAGTACTAGCATTAAAATGTTAAGTATTTAGACTAAGCATGCCACTGCTGCAAATGTACGCAGAAGACTGAATCTGATCACCTACCATCTGATGATATAATTTTTCATCATTTCCATAGAAAAATAATATAGCTACCTTTGCCCAACATTGTTAACTGTAGGGAAATAAGTTTTCTATTAAATTCGTTTTTGGCTTCACAAATCAATTGGCCTTCAAATCTTGGCTGCATCCTTATAATTGTAATAACAAATCCATCAGATGACTTTTCTACATCATCATCATCATCCTCCAATGGATTTCCATTAAGATACCAGGTAACGTTTGCTGGTGGTATCGCATCTATTATACAATATATACTACCCTCATCCGAATAAAATATACTTGTATCTGAAAAAAAATTCAACACATTCCAAATATAAAATTTCTATTCTTATTTATTTCGATGAATTATGATGTTTTAAAACAATACACTAATTTAATTATGACTTTTCAATGAGATATAATAAATTTACGTCAGTCTGAAAAAGAGACAAGCACTATTTACCTTTGGATGCACTCACCACGACAAATTTGGTGGTTGCTTCAACTGTTACTGTTCTTATATCTTTACCATAATCATTAAATGTAAGGCACTGATACGAAGTATTTTTTTTTATATGTTCTATGTTAAGAACACTCAAGTAGTCATACGGAAGATCAACTTCTTCAACCTAATTAAATTAACAAAAACATTTAATTTAATTGATGGTTTGTTCGTTCTATATCTTTATCTATTATTATGTTTCCTAGGGCTTCTATAGAATTTTATGCAGAATCAATTCGCTGAATCTCTAGCGTTTGATTTCTTCGTTCAGATTAATAGGTATCACTTTAAATGTATTTGCAGCGCCCACGTTTCTTATAGATTACTATTACTCTAATTGGCAACAATAATGTATTTATCGACCCATGCTGGAATAACTAAGTTTGGTATTAAATGAAATTACTGTACGGATTTTATCGCGTTTTTTTATTTTAATTTAAATTCTCGACGTTTCGAACCCTTTCCAGCGTTCATGGTCACGGAACAAAGTTGTTAGACGTCTTGATGTCATAGTTAACCCCGGCTACCGTCAATTATTTTGTTTATTTTTATTCCGATCCACGCAGAAGGAGCTTATGGTATCTCGAGGTCTGGCAGTGTTGGTGTGCTTGGATTTAATTTTATAAATTATGGGATCCCAAGCAGATGATAAACTCCAACCATCTTCTCTATTGAAATTAGGATGTTTCTTTATTTCAATAGCCTCGCGGATCATCCTTGGAAGGAATCGGTGTTCTTTTGCGAGGATTTTCGGTTGATCAAATCTAATGTAGTGTTTTGGGGCGGTCTAAAATAGGATCATAAACTGCAGACTTCTTCAACCGTCGGTTTGAACAACCGTCGGCTTCAGACGTCTAACAACTTACGTCTGTCCCGTGACCATGAACGCTGGAAAGGGTTCGAAACGTCGGGAATTTAAATTAAAATAAAAAAAACGCGATAAAATCCGTAAAGTAGTTTCATTTAATATGTATAATATTCGCGTAAAATTAAGAAAACAACTAAGTTTGTTTTTTAAAAACTCAGGGATAGGAAAGCAAGGTGGAAATGTGACACTCGTAGAAATACTAGCTTCGGGGTCCAGAATTCATACGCAATTTGAATACTTACATTATGATGACTGATGAGATACCAATATATAAATTAAACGGTTTTATTTTATGTTTTTTTTTGTGCACTGAAAACTACAATATTGTATTGTCATCTAAATTAAATGTGTGTACCAAATTTCAGATCAATCTGACAACGGGAAGGTGCTTAAATTTCAATTTCTAATTTTGACCCAAATAAACAAATAAATTCCGTACGTGTCGAGCTAAATAAAACCGTTTAATAACGAGCGCGCGCGCGTGTCAAGTCCGAAAAGCTTTCGATCACTTGTTTAACTAAGAGCCCTTTAGATTTACAACTTTGTTTGGTAACATTCTCTTCCAGAGATTTGGTGTTTATGATGAAGCCCAAAACACACTTTTTATATAGAATGATTTTCTATTGTGAGTATCATTTTTATTAAAAAAAATTTATTTCAGAGATGACGTCCTTTCAATACAACCGAATGAATATAAAACAATATAAAACATAAGGTAGATTTTAGCTGACCTAAATGTTGTGTATTCCAATGTTTTGTTCCAGTTAGCAATGATGATGATGATGATAAGATGATAAAGATGATATTTGTTTTGATCACCAGAATTAAAAGATACCTACTGATATAAAAATAATTTTGGTTTAAAATTTGTTATTTACCATTTCAGAAATTGTCAGTCCAGATTTTTCATCAATCCACTTAATCTGTGGTTTTGGGAACCCGTTTACTTTGCATCTAAGCTGCAACGAATCATCATAGTTAACTTTTATTAGGTTTTCTCCAACTGAAGTAATAGTGGGTGCTTTCATTTTCGGTGGCCCCTCTAAAATTAAGAATTGTATTTTTTTTTTAAAAAAGAAACGGTAAATCCGATGGCAACTAAAAATAAATTATTTTAAACTTCATAAATATATAGATACTAAATCTTATGTTCCAATGCCTGAGGCACTAAGTTCATCTATGCGCAAGATTTTTGTAAAGTTATACTTATCATAAAGGCACAATTGGCACTAGAAGTATTAATAGCGATGTCTCAATTTATATATATTTTATTTATGCTTGTACAAAATAGAGAACCCTAAAATGTCGATAATGAAAGCAATAACGTTTTCGTTAATAATTCTGGTAGCGCATTACCAGGAAAGCGTAGGTTGGTATTCTCACTGCGGCAAATTATTTTTCGAGAATTTATACACACATTTTCAGTTTCATCTTAGTGTAGAGAAAATATTGTTACATTTGAATTCTAATATCCATAAAAAATATTAGGAATCTTACCATCCATAAGCCTTGCTGGTTCTATTGGTGTCATAGAAAGTCTTTCTATGGGTGTTTTTTTATTCTTATCAAAGCCTTTTATCTGTAACAATATTTCATAATGGGACATCCACATTTTATGTGTTATTTACGCAAATCAAAAATGACATAATTAAACTCACCAATATTTTAAACAGAGTGTTAGGCGGCAGTAATTGTTTCGTCACATAAAAATCTTCGTGTATTTTATCTAACGGTAGCATTTCAAGAACATTTTTACTTGTATCAACAAGCTGAACTTCTTGAAGTTCAACATCATTATCAGGGTTTATTAATTGAATAGCCAAATATAACATTTTATCTGAAAAAAAAAAAAAAATTTGATGTCAAGTTTTTCCTGTTCAATAGAGCTTTAAATTTCAGCAGTTTTTTTTTCTTGTTAAGGTGATCAGTTCTATTATTGATGTAATATCGCCTTACCTAGCACTATTTTTAATATTTGTATCAATCGTGGCCAATTTCCTGACCTTATGAAACATAGTAAAATCATTCCGGTGTTTAAATCTGGTAGTACTTCCGACCCCCATAATTTTAGACCTATCTCTGTCCTGCCAAATCTTAGTAAAATTTTTGAAAAAATCATGTTGAATCAAATGTTACAGCATTTTAACTCTCATAATTTATTACATAACAAGCAATATGGGTTTACTAGGGGTCGCTCAACAACTAATACGGGTGTTCAGCTCGTTATGAATATTTTTGAAGCCTGGGAAGAGTCGCAGGATGCCTTAGGTATATTCTGTGACTTAACCAAAGCTTTCGATTGTGTACAGCTTGAGACCTTGGTCAGGAAACTACGCCACTATGGTATAAGAGCTGCCGCACTCAATCTTCTGAAATCTTACTTGAGCCATCGCATTCAGAGAGTTGACGTGAATGACAAGAGATCTCCTGGGGCCCTGGTAAATATGGGGATCCGCAGGGATCTATTCTTGGGCCTCTTCTCTTCCTCATTTACATAAATGATCTACCTTATCTAGTTAATAATAATCATGAAATAGTATTGTTTGCTGATGATACCTCTTTAATTTTTAAAGTAAAACGACGTTCTTTAAGTTATGACGATGTAAATAATACTCTATCCACTGTAGTACATTGGTTTAGTGCTACCAATTTACTGCTGAATAATCAAAAAACTAAATGTATTAAATTTACAACTTCTAATGTTAAACATGTAAAAATTGATGTTCTTTTATATGGGGAAGCGTTGGACCCTATTGACTCAACTGTATTCCTTGGCATAACTATTGATGCCAAACTGCAATGGGGCCCCCATATTAATAGACTGGCGAGTAGACTTAGCTCAGCAGCTTTCGCGGTCAAGAAAATAAGACAATTAATTGATGTAGATACGGCTCGCTTGGTATATTTTAGTTATTTCCACAGTATAATGTCTTATGGCATTCTGCTTTGGGGTAACGCGGCCGACATTAATACAATCTTTATCTTATAAAAGAGAGCTATTCGTGCAGTTTACAATCTGGGCCCCAAAGAATTGTTAAGAAACTTGTTTAAAGAGATAAAGGTATTGACTGTTGCTTCTCAATACATTTTTGAAAATGTTTTGTATGTCCATAAAAATAAGGATAAATTTTCAAGACATAATAATGTTTATGATATAAATACTTGGAACAAAAATAAATTGATCCTACCCACAAGTAGACTGCGTAAAATGAGTAAATCTTTTATGGGACAATGTATACGTTACTACAACAAAATTCCAGAAAACTTTCAAAATGCATCAATAGCTAAATTTAAAAAAATAGTAATAGAACGTTTGTGTGTTAAAGGCTACTATAATATTAATGATTATTTAAATGATAACACACCCTGGTAATGAACTGATCGCTCCAGGCTCTTTCAATCAGAGTCTTATATTTTATTTGTAATGAATTCATGTCAAACTGCTTATTTAAAAAAAATGCCAGCTGAGTTTCTTTCGCCGGTTCTTCTCAGTACAGTGGCTTTCTTTTCCGAACCGGTGGTAGTGTTTTGACTATCAATAAGCAAGTGTTATGCTCCTATGTTGAATAAAAACATTTGATTTTGATTTCACAAATACTTTTTCCACAAATAAAACAGACAAAAAGTGCAATTGATTCTTTTTTTACTAGGCACTGCCGACAAATGTCTGTAATACCTATATAGTATTTAGATAGTATTTAGATATTATTAGTAATAGACCTAGCTATTTCTTTTCGCTTGATGTTTGCAGCAATAAGTAGCAGTTTATTGTAAGTGGATGATTTTATTTACTTAGGGACTTGGAAGGTGAATAGGCGGTTCACCAATTGTTAGGTAATTACCGCTGCCCATGGATACCTACAGCTGCAGTGTTGCAAATACGTTCCAAAACTCGGATAGCGTGTGCCTGCTTACCTAACTCAAGAGATAATACGAAGATAGTATAATAATTGATCTTGATCGCTCCAGGCTCTTTCTTGACTTTCAATCAGAGTTTTTATATTGTATTTGTAATATATTCATGTCACACTGTGTATGTTCACAATTTTCAAAAAGTTGTCAACGCATCTAGAACCCTCGGGTGCAGCAGATATCCGTGGGCGGCATATATTAACATCAGGTGAACCGTCTGCTCGCTTGGCAACTTTTTACATTAAAAAAAATAGCCGACATCGCATATTTTTCATATAGACTACATAGAACGATATCGCATAGTAATCAATAACTATAAACTAATAAAAAATAATATCCATGTTTCACTAATATCTGCAAGGATTGTGTATACCGAAATCAAGCACCGGCACCTCAGATGAGTATATTGTGTTATTACTTTTTCTTTCCGTACCGTAAAATCTACGTTCACAAACAAAAAAAAAAACAATTATATCAATTAAAAAAAAAAACAAAAACGCAAACCCTTGGAAGACCAAAACGTATTTCTGATAGTGTCGTTTCAAATAACGAAGACTTGCGTAGCGACTTTCAGGGTCTTTTTGATGCTTACTATGTAAAAAATTTAAAAAGTAAATGCTAAGGCGGAAGTCAACAATGCATGGAATTTCGTGAGGATTTATGACCGAATTAAGTCGTTAAATTTTTTTTTAAATTATCAACTTCGCCCCAACCGAGTAAATTATTTTAATTTTAACAGAGTCTGTGTTCTTCTCTATGTTCCTGTTTTAGGAGCAGTTGAAAATTTAAAGTGTTTTAGTTCACTGAGGCTGAATTTTTTTAGTAATTAATTAACAATCTGAGTTTTGGCTTGTGCTGGGCTAGCTTTCACCGCAGATATGTATTCTATTATTTGATTCGTGATTATAAGTAGATATAATGATGAGCCTCCGCTCGCGTTTACATGTATCGATCCGGACTTAAGCAAGTGAAGGCAATGAGTGGTAAAATAATTTTATGGACAACTTTGATTGTTCAATTAACGATTAATTTTAAAGACAAATTTGACTTGTAAATTACACTCCACTAAGAAAATTAGATTTGAAGACTGTTAAATCTTTTGAAATGTCTTGCAGCACATAATAAATATACCTAAATGGGCCTGTCTTATACAATTTTTGCTAGAACAAAAAGGTTTGTGCCACACGAATAATAATGTCCAAAGTAAGTTAATCCCAAAAATCCTCAAGACTGGGGGGACCGGAATATTTGCGCCATTTATTGGTGAAAGCATTAAGCGCTTCTGATTGGCTGACGTAACAAGCTGCAAATGTCCGTTTTGGCGCACCCCTTGCTCTATTTAATGTCTCCCGCATGTGCACTAAGTTCCAGTTTTATTAAGTCCCGTATCAAAAAGATAAGTTCTGACTCATTAGACGTAAAAAATGGAATCACAATAGAAAAAAAAGGCGTTTTCTCACATGAAATTTTCTCTCATAATTAATCCTTTAAGACAGTAGTTTAGGTGTTAGTATGGCTTCAATAAAATTATTTTTAAAAATAATTGATAATAAAAATAATTACCTGCAATGGGTCTTGTTACTGTATCTTCAATTGATGTTGGTTTCAATGCAGAAAATCCATGTTTAAAGTTAAATAACGTAGATCCAGTTATAACAGCTTTGGTTTTACTCTTACTGCCCAATTTAGCAGTATGTGTACCTTTATCTTTATCAGTAACCTTGACCACCTATAAATGTATTTCAAATAACTGTAGTTGTATAGTTAGTCCAGTCATTTTAGACATTTTAATGACCAATTTGCGGAAAAACTCCTAGTGTTGTTGTGTGTTAAAAGTTGCAGGCGCGGTTCACCTGATCTTAAGTGAATACCGCCGCCCATCCATCTGCTACACCCGAGGTTTCCAGATGCGTTGACAACCTTTTGATAATTTTATTGTATACACATTCGTTACCGTGCCGGATAAAAAAATGTATAAAAGTAAAAGGTCACGAAAATCAATTTTTCGCAATTATCTCGCAACTTCTTACACGGAGGTCTATAGAGGTCATTATAACAATTGTTTATTGTGAAATTATGTACAAAAAATACCTCTTGTATTTTTCTTTAAATTTAACCCTTTAAGGAGTAGAGCACTAAGGAAGCGACTATATTATGACGATGCACTCGTTTCCTCACCACCTTTCAGGCAGAATGCAAGACGAGTTTTTTTTATATGGTTTCCCCCGTAGGCATATAAGAGATTTTTTTTATATCATAGTGAGTGTAGAGTATTTATTTTTATCATTATTACAACTGTTTCATTTATAAGTTTTCGTATAGACAATTTGACACTATGTTCAGCATAGAAAAAATGGATCTTTATACGATCCTTACGATGTAGTCTGAGTAAATTACATTTAGCAGATTGGCACCTCAGTGCGATTTAATTTTGAGTTTTAATTTCAAGTTTCATACAGGTTTCACTTCACTTCGCAGGAATATGTCGTAATCTTCGTGGGATGTCGCGTTTAACTCTGATGAAGTTGTTTTTGGTGACTAGTATTAGCAAAGTAAGTAAAATTAATTGCAATAGTGTTACCAGGGAATTATCAGTTTCAAAGATGTTTGTAGTCAAGGCTTTCGTTCCATTAGATTTCAAGACCTCTATTTTAGGATTTTTACCGGAGACTGCCACTATCACATCATTGATCTTATCATCAGTTGTATACTGCAAATAATATTGAATCATGGTTAGGAATTTAGAGAAAAGCTGAAAAAGACTCCAAAACTAGTTCCGAGTCTACTTCAGCTTTCTAATAAAAGCCCTGGCTCCGCAAAAGAAGATAAATCTAAATTTCTAGACTCTAAATGAAAAAAACATACAAATTCATGTATGACAATTGTATAACTGTAATACGTGAATTCATTTACGTTATAGGAAGAACCTTTACTTCTTTTGCTTCCAGTTTACACCTCAAATATCCCAGATATTTAAAATTCACTCCTGACTTGTTACTAAGTACTTAAGTTAGTCGAGAATGATGTAACTTCATGTTGGTAAAAAGATATTCAGAATAAGTTCAGTATTTATAGACATGACCCAATATTTCCAAACAATTGTATAAATATACTCTGCTTTTTCTAATATTTAAATATAAAGCTTGCTACATGGGTCATGATGTTCAGCACTGAGGGACAGACTAAGGAGAGGGAGAAAGAAGAAATAATTTAATGTATATTAGCTCACATTTAGCAGTTTATCGTAACCAGGTGTAAACTCCGACTCAGCTAACACAGTTCTTGGACTTTTCACTATTTCTGATACGTAGTTCAAAATCTGCAATTCATAAAAAGATACAAGATTCTTCTACAAAACGTATTTATATTTAATTTTAACTGGCATGTTAGGTTAGGTTGATATGATTTATATATCATAATTGTATGATAAATCTTAACATTAATAAATAATTTTGAGAGTTGACAATATGTGGTTACAGTAAAAATTATTTGCAATCGATCGCAATAGGAATATATATATACACACACACACACACACACACATATATATATATATATATATATATATATAAATATTAATTTTATATACAGCGTGTCCTTACAATAGCGTCAATAAATGAACACACATAAAGGGGATAAATTTTTAAAATTGTACTAAACATTTACATTGTTTAAACATCAATATTTACAGAGTTATTAAATTTTCCAAAACAAAGAGTTTTAGAACATCCTTACCTGTAAAACTGTAGTATAAAGTTCATTTGTAAAGGTCACAAAGCATATGAATGGGTTGAATGAATTTAAAAGAGACAAAACATACTGTTAGAAGGAGAGGCTTGTAATACGACGCTGTGGTGCGAGTTGTATAGGATGTTACAAATTTTGTTTCTTTTTTACTTAATTAGTTTGTTTGAAAAATATTTTTTTTTTCATTATGGATTTTGTTTAACGTTTATATTATTTATGATTATTGGCGAGTAGCGTTAGACGTGTGTTCATTTATTGTCGCGATGGTAACGATACGCTGTATTTAATTATAAAAAATATATATATATATAAAACTTTTTTAGCTGCTGCCGGGATTCTAACCAGCGTCTTCTGGATTAGGCATCGATATGCCACTAAGCTAAGCGATTGACATCCTCACCCAGCGAAACCCAACATCTTATCTACTTCATTTGTATTGTATTTGTGGGAATGCTTCGCTATATCTGCTGATTGCTTTATAGCAATCACTCTTTCTCAAATAACATTTTTACAATGAATATTTGAAAACTATTTGTAAACCCCTTGCCCTTGCTATTGCACTTAAGATGAAACTTTCGTGCGGTGCGCATATCGACAGCTTAGCTTTATGTTTCTAGCTTTCGCTATTATAGTTTATTTTAATGATAACTACGCAAAATGCGCTTCAACTGTTTTTGCTATATCTAATAATTTTTCAAATAATTACCTTATTGACGTCTCCTTTTTCCAAGTCATGGAAAACTTGTCCTGATGTTGCAGTTGCTAGTTCTTCATATACATTATAAGCAGGATCTTCTTCGTTATAAATACACCTTCCGGTTAATACAAAAACTATCTGATAAAAAAAATAGACATAAGCTCGAATGCATTGCCTCTAATAGCGGAACACAAATAATCTGACAGAATATATGCGATTGACGATAGTGGAAACAAACTAATCCAAGGCGTCATTTCTCTCAAAATGATAAAATTGACTTAAAACAATATAATTATAGAATTTGAATACCACATTGTTTAAAGTATAAAAAATTTTCTTTGGGAGTACTTGAATTTGAAAAAACAAGCGCCTTCGTAGCTTTAAAGTGCCTTAAGTAATCATATTTTGATCACGTTAAAAATAACTTTTGGCGTACCAATTAGGTCTCATCTGGATTGATTAAATATATAAGATTTTTAATTTACAAATGAGAACACTTAATAGATCAAAAAAATTTGCTGGTGTTTCAGGCTTGAAAAAATGATTAATCAATAGAGAAATGTCACTGTTGAAATAATATATATGTCAAAACCTATGCAAACACTTAATTTTAATAGAAAAAAAAATATTAAAACTTGTTATTTTCACTGAAAAAAGTCCGCCATTTTAATAATTCGAATTCAAAAATATTATATAAGGACTTATAGAATTGTGTATATACATACATATTATGATGTATTTTATATATTCGGCGACTAATTTGTATCATTGTAAAATAATTGCCGGCATTTACCGGAACGTTTTTGACAAAATAAGCTTTGAATAATGGAAGACAGTGGAACGCAGAATAGTAGTTACTCATAAAACGATAAATACAATGGGTTGACATTCAATTTTAAAAGCACAGACCTGGTACTTATGGGAAATTTATCTACCTGTGATGATTTTTTCTGCGCGATACTTTTGATTCTTGGAAACTCTCTGTAGTCTGTAGCAGACGCATCTGTAAAGACGAAGATGTAAGAGCGTGGAAGGCTTTTAATCAATGCTTCTTCTAATCCCTTCATAGCCATTTCAGGGCATAATCCGCCACCATGAGGTATAATTTTATCCAAAGCCGCTATGAAATCCCCTTCATTAAAAGTAATAAAAGCGGGTCGAATATCTGAAAGATAAATAACAAAATTATTGGAATTATAAATTATTTGAGACAGAGCAAGACTTTGAATTTACATTCACTGGTTTATGTGTTTATAATGTGAGATAAGGGGGAATACGAAAAGATAATTTATTTCCCTAATTATTAATAAATGTACAAAAGGACTAGGTCGAAAACGACCTATGCTCCGCTGTACATGCAACTTTACAAATTAATAGAATTTTACGGACACTTCTGAGAGTCTCAACTTTTTTTAGTTGTCTCTATATAAAGTACTCTCCAAAACAATTACCAGATATTATTTCTCGTTTCCCGGTACGATTTTTATTTTGATGAGTTAAATCGATTTTAATATATTAAGTTTGATTTTTTTGACGACCCGATTGTCGTTGTGGGTAGTGAACCTGTTTCTTGACAGAGGGTGTGGCTTCGATCCCTACAACTGGAAAATTATTGTGTGATGAACATAGGGCTTATAAATAGATATTATGTTTAATATATAAATAAAATTATTATAAATAAATAGGGCCACGCCAGACGCCACGGAAGCTTTGGGGGGAAACCAGACGGCCAAGGTTAGGGGCGAAAGGGAGACAAACCGGCGGACGATGCAGGTGGTATCAAAGAACACTGCCTTCTGCATTTGAGCTATGAGAAGCATGTCCCTGATACCCAGCCGGCTCAGATATACGGAAAGGCTGACTGGGATTAACACATTCACAGAAACGACTATCGTAATAATTTCCGTTGGCACAACACCCACATGTCGGTCACCTAGTAAGGCATGTCCAGATATGTCGTCTTCTTATCTGTTTCGTCTTTCACGAGGTTCAAGTCATATGAATCAAAAATACCCGCGATTGTGCCCGGTCCATCAACACGATATCAGGCTTGTTCGCGAGAATCGTCCTGTCCGTGATGGGCCGGTCCCATTATTATTTACATTATTATAGTAATAAATTCTGTACTTATGATGAAACATTAAAACATGTAGAAAAAAATGGCGGAAAAGTTTTTCATAGCGTTATGGCGCATCTGGGCACAATTGAAGAAGACGTGGTCCATTTTTTCTATAAATTTTAATAAATCATACCAAGACAATATTAAGGTTAAAGGTACAGATTAGCGACACAGGTTTTTATGTCTTATAAATATTTTTAAACGATAAAAAAACTTAGCTGTAATTATAAATGTAAACAATTAAATAATACGATTTTGCCTATCATAAAAAATAAATATTAAAACTTATTCACTCCATTGGGGAAGTAAGCAGGCCGTGACATGATAAGTAATTTTCTAGCAGGCTCATCTCGTTTCATTTATCTCATTATGACAGGTGACGAATGCTGTATTTATCAATACTATCCAGAAACATAAATCCCTGTCATAAATTCTTTCACAGGCATGTAATAATTAAATGTCAAATGACAAATAAATAATAAATAGAATACTATTTTTTTATTTTCGGTTCTTTTGTCCTTTTTAAGTCAATAACTCGTACGGGGCTACAGGAAAAGTTGAAATAGATAAATAAGGACGTTATTATTCACGTAATTATTGGTAGATTTTACCCTATTATGTACTATGCAAAAGTTCACCATCAATATATTGAACTTTAAAGATTAAAAAAAATAAAGTTCCCTGCTTTTGCTGTAAGGGCATGAGTTTTTAAAAATAACCAATATAACAGGGCACCTATAATCTGGGGCCCAAATAATCAGTTTAGAGAAATAAAAATATTGACTGTTGATTTTCAGTAAATACATGCAAATGTTTAGTGTGTCCATTAAAATAAGAGTGAATTTTCAAATTTAGTTCAGTTTATATATCCAAATAAAAACCGCTATAGTTAAAAGTTTATTTATAGTGATTATTTAAATGATAACACATTTTTGAAATGAATTGATCGCTCCAGACTTTTTCAAGTGGATACAACTATTATTAGTGGACAATATTAAATATTTTGAAAACATGTTTGTTATTTTTGGTCAAATTATGTTAGAAAAATTGTCCCGCTGAATTTTTTTCGCCGGTTCTTCTCAGGTCGCCTTTGCTTCCGAACCGGTAGTAGTGTTTTTTTACAATCAATAAGTAAATGTTTCTGTACTGAATAAAGACACTCGTATTTGAATTAAACTGAGTAAAACTAAGTAAAACAACGAAAGGCCGTTCTTACAGCTGCTAGACTGCCAGAATAGTCTGGCAGCATCGTTAAATGCAGATAACAAGGCCAGGTCTCCGATAAACGTTGGCAGAGTGAGATAGTCATTTTTGCAGTCTCCCCGCCATATTCTCACAAACATGCTGCTGCTCTGAGGCTTTCTGACAGAACTATGAGAAGAATCCTTCACAACCAACTTCTACTTAATCCGTACAGATTTAATGTTATTAAATCTGACTACGATTTTGTAGCCCGCCAAACTGCATGCACTGCCGAATATTTGTCCTTACTTTTTTTTTAGATAAACGGCGCTCTGTCACGGTGTGATAGAGCTAAATGAGTTCTTGTACTTAGATATAACAACCATGTTGTTACTCATAGACTTTAAACACGGACCTATTATTGGCGAACAAAAACTCTACGTCTCAGTTTATTCAATATTATTCTCATCAAAATATTCATCAACTTGTACAATAAGCTACACTCCTAACAGCTGCTTTTATAGATCTTATATCTGATGACTTGTGTCACAAAATAGAAGTTTACCACAATTTGCAACAAAGTAATCATGCTCGTCTATTATTAAAAAGCCAAAGGAAAAACCAATTAATTTGTATAGAAGGCGAATAAAAAAAATATAGATCTTGATGTATTTTCTGAATACGTGCTTAACAAGCAATAGACAGAAGTTTTGTTGCCAAAATGATACGAATGAAATGATAATGTTACAATTATTTTATAACGTTACTTTTTGACAACACAATTCTAATAAAGATAAATTAATAATTTAAGCTCTTAGGGAAAAATGTGTGGAAATAATATAAATATAAACGTAAATGGCTTTATCGATGTTATTGTAATTAATTTATCAAGCTACCGCTGTAAGTATACATGATCTTAATTAGGATATTGCTCGGGTTTTCCTGGACGTTCCGTTTAAATGTTATATTTTAATGTATAATGTATAAATGTTATAAGTTTTATGTGATAACGAAGTATTAAGACCAGTAATTTTGCATTATCTAAATGTTTATATAATAATAATTATCTTTAAATTAAGAAAAACTTTCCAGTCGCTTGGGACTTTCCCACGGTATTTTAATTTTAACAGAATAACCCTTTAGTCATTATTACAGTACCTAGATAATTATAACGCAGTGGTGCATTGTGCACTGTGCACTTTGTGTGCACGAAGTGGGCCTAACTATAATCCAATACAAAATTGTGGTCATCATGGTAATATTTACGGCTAAAACTCTGATCCTGAATCCAAGTTTGTCAGAAGTGTTGAATTGGATATAATCGTGTTAATTTAACTTGTGTAACTAACGTAAATATTACAAAACAAATGGCCCTGGCAAAAGAAATTGTTTCACGTTTCAGTTTACTTGCTGGTTTATCTTGGAGAGACTTTGGACTTCAAAAGGAATTGGAATACAATCAGCTGATTAGTTTATAAAAATCAGTCGTTTTTGTACAATACGAATATAGCTTATTCAATAAGGATTCCATGAGATTATTGTTGCATAAACTATTTATCTTATTGTAAAATTAAATAAATATTCATTATTTTTCACGAAAGACACTTAAATTAAAATTCCTGCGTGCAAAAAACACGTCACGAACTGACTGTTTCATGCCAGCCTCATCCACACACATGTTTTGTGACATACCCAGGTATCGGTATGATTCAGCTTCAGAGAGGGTTCTTATGTTAACGGGCATAGATAAAAAATTAAAATTATTATATATTTCTATTGGAATGTTATATTTTTTTACTTACCCGGGTCGTTAAAAGTGACCAAAACAAAGTTCCCTATCTGGGACACGTTAGAACTCATAACTGAGTGGAATATTAATTTTGCAGCGTATCGCACTTGTTGGATGTCATCCCCCATGGAACCTGTGTCATCAATAACAAAAACTAAACTATTCTTGGGATTCGACATTTCCCCATTTGTAAATCGATGAATGGCACAAAAAACTATGAAATTGATGCAAAATTTTTTATCCAACATAGTTCACGTCTCTTCGCTAACAGTGACCGGGAAACACTAAAATTTGTTTCTGAAAACCATTTTAGCGCTGTGTTGATACTAATAATGATTACTGACTCTGATAGCTCGCCTTTGACCCTATCGGGCGCGTTAACTTTATTATCAGTGAAAAATTAAGTGATTTTATTATTTTTAGAATCTTTTTAATCATAGTCAGCCTTAATTGGTCGTGGCATTGTTATTTTAATCACACTTTCGCTATGCTTAAAACATTAAAGAAATCCATTCTCAAGGTATTCCCTGCAATTTGGCTCCACTGAGTTATATAAATTGAAGTTATGTTCACATGAATCCTGCATGCATCGCTGCGGGTTATTATTTATCACTTTTTTTTTCAAGTTGTATAGATTTTTTGCTGCGTGTTTATTTCATAATTTTTCGATAATTTCAAACTTTTAGTTGTAATTTCAGAAAAATCTATGAATATTTTATAACACGAATATTTATATACTAATTATATACGATAAAATAATTATATACGAAGTTTACAATTTCATTTAATTATACGTGATTTTTTTTATATTACATATTTTTGTGATTGCCCCCGATGGTTTATACTGCATAATATTATAAAAACTTACTTTTAGTTGTTCCTAAAGAAAACCTAGATAAAACCAAAATCACTTACGATAATTCGAAATCGGATTCGTCAATTTATTCCAAAGTGGCAATTAAAGTTACTCACGTCGATCGATGCATTATTGTCCCTAAATATTTTTAAATGCAAATACAACATTTTTACAATCTGGCGAACTGGTGTGATTGTTGTTACACTAACTGTGTGTATAGTGTCATCCGGCGGGACCCCAGGCGGTGGGTATCACTCAACGTATCTCAGTCCCCTTCCTCGACCGGGTCGATGAGGACGTTTCGTGGGCGACGCTTGTTGACGTTCGCGTTGTGTCGGGTTGGTAATTTGCTGCGCTTACTACCAGAGGGTTGGGATGATGCTGGGCTCTATCGAAGAACCGTTTGGTCAGATCTTTAAAATGAGTGCGTATCGTCGGGAGTCTGCAATCGCTGTGCAGGTCGACGTTGCGCTGATACCACTGTGCACCGGTCGCGCGGCGGATAAACTTATTTTGAACTATTTGCAATTTGTTAATGCGAGTAGGGTTTGTATGAGCGAAGATCATGCATGCGTAGGACATGATTGGCCGTACACAAGCTTTATATAGCAATAATTTGTGCCTTAAGGGAATTTTACTATTTTCATTGTTCAAATTGTATAGCCGGCCGGAGACGATACGCGGCTCTGTTTCAGACGTTGTTGCACGTTAATGTGCGTAGTAAAATACATACGCGAGTCGAAAGTGACTCCTAAATATGGATGGATAAGCTAAAGAGATGCTTTCCGTTATTATTTGGGATACTATGGATGTCCCATGAGCCGTGTTTGCAGTTTAAATCGCCTGCAATTATCACGGAAGGGCCTAAGTTGAGTAGCGTATCTAAATCGCTTTGTAATAAGCTTTTGTTCTCCAAGAGTTAGGCTGAGACTAGTATAAGCGGCCTATGGCCGGTGAGCGCTAACTTACACGCGGATGCCTCTATATAGCACTAGAAAAATATCTACATTATAATCGCGAAGGAATTCTTCGATTTCGTCCCTTTGACCCTTAATGCCGTTTGCATTGAAATACGAAACAACCAGAGCTTGAGTTTTGTTATACCTGCGGTTGTACTTTCCATAAAAGTTTTTTATGATTTCTACCTAACGACGCGTCGAAGCGCGGTTTTATTGTGCGGACTATAGAGTTTATGGTTGGTTTGTAAATGCGCCAATAATTGCTATGTGCATTCAGGGCGTGCCATGGTCACCGGTGCGTTTGACGCACCTAGGGTGTGCGAAGCAATTGTTGGCCGTGTGGCCGTAATGCTGGCAGTTGTGGCACAGTGCCACAACTGCCAGCATTACGCGGGGGCCGCCGGGGCTCGATGACTAAATCACTGAGCCCACAGACCCTCTTCAGGTTGAAGACGGCCTTACCTCCCGGGGTGGGATCAAGTTCAACCATGACCATGTCCATAGGGACACGGGTTCTAGGGCGCCTGAGTCGTCGCACTGCATGTACGGGGTACCCCTGACTGCTGATGTCGTCAGGGATACCCCGTACATGCAGTCTAAGGTAAGTATGCAGGGCTAAGGAGCCTTATTGACATCCGACTCTTTAGGGACGCCCTTTATTACTACCTTATTTTCGCGTAAGTACTTAGTTATGCGTCGGAAATCGTCCGTTGTATCTAGGTATACGCGCATACCCATATGTGTATTCTTCGACCGGGGGTCGCGGATGTTGTGGCGTTCGAATCACGAACATACTTGATGCCACTTTGCCTTCTCTTGAATTATTATTGGAGGCGGTGCAATAAGAATCTATAATTGCCAGATATTTTTATTGTTGTTTAAACTGTGCCTGTAAAATAAAAACTTTTTCAAAATGTTTTAGTATGGCTTAAATTTTAATAATTATGCTGTTATTTAAGTATCTAAAAACCCAAAATTAATTTGCCAAACAATTACCTCTACCGGCAGTCAGATAGTCCGTATGATGTCCAGGAGAATGAGAGAGATAGCATATCTCAAAACTAGTTTACTTTAAATTCTCTATAATAATAATAATAAAAATATCTTTATTAACATAGACGCTTGTGCGTTCTTAGGAAACGTCAAAATTTTACAAAGAAATTAACACTTTCGTAAGTTACCACTGGTTCGGAAAGCAGTTTCTGTTGAGAAGGAACCGGCAAGAAACTGAACAGTTGCTCTTTTTTAAAAGGTCAGTTTACAATATAGTAGGTATAGTGGTCTTCTTTTAGCCTACATGAGTATCAACAGTATTAACCCCACACATTGGCGTCATCAAGATATTCCGCAATAGTATAATAGGCCTTAGCCAAAAGTTTACTCTTAATTTTTTGTTTAAATTCATCAAGTGGCAGACTTAATATCGACTGTGGGGTTTATTTTATTCATGCGCACACTTTGCCCCATGAACGACCTGTTTACTTTATGGCGTGGTTAGTTTGTTCTTATTTCTAGTATTTAGTTTATGTCTGTCGCTATTCTTTAGATAATTATTAAAATTATGTTTAACATACAAAATATTACAATAAACTCTCTCGAAAACGTTGCTGCCTCTGAGACCATAATGACACATGGACCAGTTTTTTTCTCGTTATTAAGTACTAGCGACCCGCCCCGGCTTCGCACGGGTGCAATGTATTAACCTTCATACGTATAAACCTTCGTCTTGAATCACTCTAAATAGTTAAAAACCGTTTCAAGATCCGTTGCGTAGTTTTAAAGATCTGAGCATACATAGAGCATACATAACCATTCAGCATTTATCGGATAGTGTTCCTGGCCTCATGCCGCGCCAAGTAGATGTGTTATATGATTAGTTTTTATTTTTTTTTTTGCTTAAATTTGTATAAATTAGTATATATTGATATAAATGCAACGCAATATGACCAGCTAGAGTATAGAGTCAGAAATTCAATTCTTATGTAACATAATTATGTATTGTATAAAATTACAGAAAGGAATAAAAACTTTACCGTACTCTTCTGCTTTATTTTTTAATATCCTTACCTGTGTAGAAATGTATGCATTCGTAGGTGAAAAATCGATGGTATTTTTGATACCATTGATTTTCTCTTAAGTATGGGCCAGTGCTCCATGTATAAATTTACATAAAAAGAACAAAAGAACACCAGTTGGCGCTGTTCCAACTATAATTCTCGAGTTATATCTGTATTCTTCTGTATACAAATGTGCTTTGTGGTTAAGGTGGTACTGGCCTTAGGGTGAGCTCTCGACACACAACGCGCTCTGTTGCAGAATTTTCGTATCGATCATGTAATTTTGTTGAACATGGTTGTGATGCCGAAACGAAAATTAACATTACGTCCGCAGTAGCGGCGGTCCGGTGATGGTGCCGCTTACGGAAGGTTTATTTAAGGGCCAGAGTGTGCTAAAAGAATGTGCCCGACTATTCGACCTTAGCCCAAACCGTATGACGGACCTGTCGTAGGCTTGTATGACTTTCTTTTTATTCTGGTACGCCAGTTTTGCCTTCAACTAAGGTCCTTTTCCTCAACTTCACTTCCTTCTTCGGGGGGAGTGCGTGGATTAGTTGGCGTCCACCGCACACGGTGATTTGTTTTCGTAGACACGTGTCGCACTTTTTTGTGTGGGGAGCGAATATCTTGTAATGGGTATTATGTAAATATATTTGTGAGACCCTTTCAAGCGTGAAGGGACATTTTATAAATAATATTGTGAGCCCTTTATATTTATTTATATAAGAGAAAAAGACAGTATACCATATTTTCCGAGCAATTTTAAGTGAGTTGGGATTAGTTAATTCGAGAGCGATCTAGGAATAGTCACGGCTTACACTGTCACGTGTGAATATTAATCTATCCGAAAATCACCTAAAAGAATGTGCTCATTTAAGAAACAACGCTTTATTAGCAATTAGTAACGCTATTAGTATCGAACTACAACGTCGAAGCTGCAATATTTATAACAAATTTATAAGTTTTGCCACAATAGAAATAAACAAACTTAGCTTATGGTAAAATTTTTTATTTCATGGCATGAAACGTCTTAATAAATTTCCAACGCCTCTTGCTAAATTATTCTTGAAACCCAAAACTTTACTAAATTCCTGAGTGCTACAGCAATAAATGGAACCGTTTTGCACACTTTTTATAATTTCTTTCATCCATTCTATTTCTTTACACACGTTCTTGCAAATATACGGTGTTAGTATTGATGTTTGTAATGCATCTGGAATATTTAACTGAATAATTGCCAGTGAAGTCCTTGCATTGATGTCTATAACAATCTGCAATTGAAGTAAAAGGTTTCAAAATTTAATAAG